CGTATTGGTTGTTGGCTCTTTTATGAAAGATGAACCATTCTACATAATAATCTGGAATATTAATTTTTAACTAATCAATAACCAAATGTTATAGAGATAAGAAGACTCAAAGGTTGTTTTCATCGATAAACTGACGATCATATCCGTGTGTCTGTGTTTCAGTTCAATGAAAAGACAAGTTTGAATTTTAAGAGATTTATTTCTTCAATTTAAACTAACAATTTGAAATGACAATCAAAGGAAAATAATCAACATTGGCAACCTTGTTGGACAATCTTTAACAGTTGATATTTTAAGCTTGCACAAATAGACCTTGTGTTGGATGTGCTAAGATTGAGGATGATGGAGTTATGAATGCGTGCATGCAGGTGTCTGAGATTGCTTCAGGGAGAGAGAAGGTGTCTGAGTGAAAAATGATGTTTTGCAATTAAACTTTAGTTCTTATTAGAAAACAGCATCAGAATGCTATCTGGTCGTGTTCTGCCTCACCACACTTGGGACCCTCTTTTAGATCCGGACCTCAGGAGGATGTTTCTCCAGATGCCACCTTGGCTGACAGAGAAGACGAAGGTGTGCGACGGTCCAGTCCCGGGTTGACCTCGGTACACGTTGCTGAAGCGTTTCGCAGATGCGCTTTCTCAAGTTTAGATTAACTCAGAAACAAAAGACTCTGGGACGAGGCTGCGTTAGCTGGTTGCATTTCAGCTATTCTGTCTGGCTTGACAGAAATAGCGTGGAGGGAGAAAAGGAGCCGGCAGGCTTCTTCCTCGTGGCGTTCGTTCCGCACGTCCACTCTCTTCCCTTCTCACTCTCGTTCTGACTCCTTACCGAAACCACTTCTCTTCCCAAAGCAAACTTGTTGTGCGTCAGAGCAAACGTGTTTTGAAGTTACTATGGATACGGACCTGTATGAGCAGGTGTGAAGGTCATCGCTAAACATCTTCAAAAACGTTATTTAATTAAGTATACTGATTCATTATAGTTCATTATGATTACCCAAAGCATAATAATCATTCATTTGATTAAAATACATTTATAATGAGCAAAGTGATCAAATGATTATTTAACATTAATAAAATACAGAAGCTTAAGACTGTTTTATTATGACTAGGCTGTGTGTGAAGTCCTTCTTCTGGAGATGCAGGTGTTCGGCTGTTGTGGATTCCTTCAGACTTGCTGGCGGCTTAGGTCTTAATCTGTGGGTGAAGGTGCTGCGTGACCCAGCTTTGACCCAGCCGGGCAAATACGACCTTTGACACAGAACCAGGGTCCGAAATTAACACTCGCCAAATGCGAGTAAATTGCTCCATTTGGCGAGTACATTTTTGAGCTCTACCTGCCACCTGGCGAGTAAATGTTTGCACCAAATTAGTTATGTTTATCAGTCATCTTCCATGGATTTCTGGTACTCCTCCCGCCTGCATGCAACATACACAAACGTACGCGAAACGTGAACGCCGCATCCAACGTCATTTCCACCTATCCTATTCAATCAGTTTATCAAGTTAGCAGTTAGCTTCGTGTTAAAACTAGCGGTGAAATGTGGCGGTTTTTAACTGGAGTCAGCCAGCCTTCCAAAAGAAAACTCGTCGAACTGGAAGGAAAACCACCAGGACCAGTGGCAACCAGAAGATTTTGTGAAAAGTGGCGAACTGGAGACGGCGGAGTCGTGAGACAATGGCTACATTATGATGGCCACGTAGCGTTGCTGCCTTTCACAGACAACTGTCCCTCGGCATTCTTCAAATATCCAAAAAACGCCCGTACTTCCCACTTTGTCTTCTTTGAGGGATAATAAATGTCCTGAGCGCTGCCGTCTCCTCCTCTGGCCATTATTTCAGCTTTAGCTTAAAGAAAGTTTTGGTTGTAAACAACAAAGTGCGCATGTGCCGCCGGCAACTTCCAGCAGATGATACGGTGGCTGGTAAGGGTCACCGCGCGTACACCGCAGCCACGGTAATCCACCGAGATAATATATATATATATATATTTTTTTAAACAAGACGGTTATTATTATTGTCAACTTTTTTACCGGGGTTTACCGCTACACCGGTTACCGTGACAACCCTAGCCCTGACACTTTCAGATATTCACATGGTGCAGCTGTGTTCTCCAGAGATCAAGGACTATGACCCACATGAGGCTGTAATGCTTTGGCACAAAGACGGTGTCAGAAGCAGGAGGCCAGACTTCATGGACAGAGAAAACAAGGAGTCTGACTAGATTTCAATGAAAGAGTTCATAAAAACATCTCTATAAATAAATAAATAAATAGTAAAAATGACAAAAGAGTTGTTTTTCTTATTAATCGATGTTTTAATTATTTTGTCACTCTGTTTGGAATCAACATAATATAGAATAACATGCTTTAGGTAGATCTAAATCATTTAGAGTTTTGGCCGGTAAAAAATATGCTTGGCCGGTAGATTTTCATCATCTACCGGCCAACTTGGCCGGTGAGTAAAAAATTTAATTTCGGACCCTGCACAGAACCCATACTTCCTCACGTTACACCTGGCTGGCTCGCCATTACATATATATGTGTGATCTGATCTTCATCTAAGTCTAAACGGTAGACAATCACACTAATACCACAAAAACACATGTTTCCATGTTTTTACTGACCACACCATGTTAACATTCACAGTGCATGTGGGAAAAGTGTTGGAACCCTCGGATTTAATAACTGGTTGAACCTTTGGCAGCAATAACTTCAACTAAATGCTTCCTGTTGGTGCAGATCAGACCTACACAACAGTCCGAAGTAAATTTTCACCATTCCTCTTTTGGGTTGTGTGGTGTGAATCACTTTCTTGAGGTCATGCCGCAGCATCTCAATCAGGTTAAAGTCTGATCGGGTCACTCCAGAAGGCGCATTTTCATATGTTTAAGCCATTCTGTTTTTGATTTACTTCCATGCTTTGGGTCGTTGTCCTGTTGCATCACTCATCTTCTGTTGAGCTTCAGCTGGTGGACAGATGGCCTTAAAGAGACAATATGCTAGCCTCGGGAAATAGACCAAATTCTGGCTTTGCAAGTTTGGTCGAGGAACGCTCCATTGGAACCTCTGCAGCCTCTAGCAGCATTCTGGCTGGCCAATCACAGCTCTCTAGATGGGTTTCAAACACATACAGGGCTGTGATTGGTCCTCAATGGTGGTGGTGGTCAGAGGTACCGGTGGCACCAGTGCTCGGCAGCCTCGCCTCTGTCAGTGCGCCCCAGGGCAGCTGTAGCTACATCGTAGCTCATCACCACCAGTGTGTGAATGGGTGAATGATTATGTTGTGAAGTGCCTTGGGGGAAGGCGCTATAAACATACAGGACATTTCCTTTCCACGTGGCTACATTTATGGTGGTTTTCTCCACATTTAATGCTCCTGAAAGGACGTGAAGCTCGCTAAAGTCGGACATTTTTCTCTGATGACATCATTTTGGTGAGTCGAGCAGTTGTAGACCTCTTCCTGTTTTCACACCAAAGCTACATTAACTTTTGCTGCCTGTTCAAAGGTGTGGAACATGGAAAGACACGTTAAATGATTATCTCTGATGCTAACGGGTCACTCTGAGTGTTTCATGCAGGCTGAACATGAGAATAGTCTCCTACACCTGTCTCCTGCATTAGTTTCTGATAGAAAACAGACGGTGAAACTCTAGGATAGAAAATCCTGACAGATCTACGTCACCCTGTCACTAACATTCTTGGACTCACCCATCTGGACTCACGACTGGGAAGGCTGTTTTCTCTTGGCTAGGAGAAGCTAACTGTTAGCGTTAGGAACTCCACCACACAGCAGAACTCCTCCAGGCTTGTGCTATTGGTGGAGATAAAACATCAATGTTGCAGAGCAGACAGAGTCAGTGGTAGAGTCATGTTGCTGTTAGCCAATCAGAGGAGAGATGTCCACGTATCAGGAAGTAAGTCTCCAGATCCTGTCGTCTGAAGCTCAGCTGTGATGTGGGTCACTGATGGTTCCTTGAATCGGGGCAGGGTATATATTTTTACCCGCTTCCAAGGCATTCGTTCCTATTGAACCGCTGCAAATGTTCTGATGAAATGAGGGATTCACTCCTTTGTTCTCAGACATCATAAGTTAAAACACAATTGGAGAACTTTTATAGGCTAATGGACTCCCATTTATTTTTGGGCAGTTGGAGACCCAATGACCAAAAGTAAATGGGCGTGGCTTAGGCTTCCTAAAGCCGGGCGTACACTGTGTGACTTTTTCAATCTTTTGAGCCGATTTTCCACTCGTGCGAGAATCCACGACATCGGGGCGAGCTTAGCGCCGAGCGGTCGTGTAGTGTACAGGGGGTTACGAGAGGCGATTAACTCCACGTGACCAGCTACCGATCAGCAGTCGTGAGCTCGCACGGACTTCTGGCCTGTTTGATATTTTGCTCGTCCCTCGTGAGGGTATCGCACTGTTGAAGCGGCGCTGCGAGCAGCTGCGACCCAAAAAGTATCAGAACCGCTCACGGCGCATGCGCGCGCAATCCTGCATCAACGCCGCTCGCCCGCTGTTTCCCTAATAACACACGCTGTTCGTTTTAATTTCTACACGTTTTTTTACTCACAAAGATTGTGAAGAAAGCGTGTTTGTCGTGTTCATGTCAAATTAAACTGATCACAAAACACAGATTTACTTTCTTTATTTCGTTTTCCTCATCCAACCCCCATAAATCCCTGTGTGTCCTCCTGCAGCACTCCCGAAGGACAACAGGCAAAACAAGACAGTCTGACGTGTTGAGTAAAAACTGCTAGTTTTAGCATATTTTTAGGGCCGACGTGTTGCTACCAGACGTGCAGGTGAGCGCATGACTCGTGAGATCTGCTCTGCGAGGAAGTCGTACAGTTTGAGCTGAAGCTGTGCTACGAGTGAAAAAGTCACACAGCGTCCGCCCGGCTTAATGCAGATGAAAGCATGAATTTTTATTTGAGTGTGTTTTAATGGAAATGTTTGACTCCAGCTTTCCTGATGTAGTTGAACTTGTGTTACCAGATCTACACTCGCTCAGTGATCGAGCCCCTCCCCCCTCCTTCCTCAAAAGATGCAGCCACCTCCCCTATCGCCCCCCTGACCGCCACCGTCACCCCTTCTTCCCCTTCCCCTGCGGAAGCGGCCCCCAGCAGCCTCTCCAGTGCAAGCCCCACCCCAGGTCCATCTCTGCCCCACCCACAAGACAAAAACAAGAAGAAGAAGATGTCGGACGAGGAGATCCTGGAGAAACTCCGTAAGTCTGATGTCACAAACACATTGTGGCCACATGCATGTGGGGGTCCTGCTTATTCTTGCTGCTGGATGAAGGCTGGCTGTCTCTGAGCTGCTGATTTCAGTGCTTTTAAGCAATAATTAAAACCGCTGCTGCAGTTCAGGTGATAAAATCCATAATGGGTCCATGTATTGGCTTTTTACCTCTTTGAGCAGCAATAGTCTCACATTTATGCTGCAGTTCAAGAGTGTAAGAAATAGATAACAGCAATGAAATGTTTGGCTTGGTTTATTTAGTTTGGACTCGATGGTCTCATTTACCTAACCCTAAAATCATAATTAATAAACCCTAACCAAACATGAAACTTGACCAGCTCTGTGAATATTGGGTTGAGGTGGAAAAGTTTTAGCAAAGAGTTAAAATAAAATGAATACATTTGAAAATAAACGGCAACCAGTGAAACTTCCTCCTTCCTCAGACTGAGAGGACAGAGCAACCTACTTGAGTTGAAACTGGCCTGTCTGTGACTCTCCTCCCGTAGTGAAAGATACCTTCGAGCGGCTGGGTTGGTGCAGATAAAACAAGAAAATACAAGAGTAGGTGTCCCAAGCCGAGGGCGCCGGCCTGCTGCGTCCACACGCGCCGCCATCTTTGGTCCTCTTTCCATCTAAAACAAAACATGCAACATTACACACATCTGTGGAACTGCGAGGCCTCGAACCGTGTTATGGCGGATTTAAGACTCAGACAATATTGATGTCTTGGTAAAATGTAGCCTTGCCCTGAAACCCTTTCAATAAACCTAAATATTCTCCCTTCCTGTTCTCTTTCCGGAAGGCTGCTGGTAACTAAATGTAAATAAATCAATAAAATAAGAAACTTTTTCCAAGCGCCTGTAAAAAACCATCAAATGTTTTTGTATTTTATAAATAATCTTTGTTTTGAACCATCATGCCGTCCAGATGGGCTCCGGTTGCCCTCTGCTGGTGAAACCAGGACACTGCAGGATGACCAAGGCCCGCCCCTTTGTCTGATTCTCATATCTGATTGGTTGTTTTCAAAAGGAGTTTCCTGCTTAGCTCCTAAACTGATGCTGGAGTTTCAATTTTGTTTTCATCCTTTTGTATTTTTCTTTTCTTCTTTAAACTCTTCAGATGAATCTACTTTACGCTTTTTCCCCATCGGCACATAAGAATGGTTTTAAATGGGACCCTTTTTAGTCCTCACAGCTGGTTGAAGGACAGTTTGTCTTGTGTTGTTGTTGTTTATTCATTAGTCTTTGTCTTCTGCGTCCCCCCCCCCCCCCCCCCCCCCACACACACACACACAGGGACGATCGTCAGCATCGGAGACCCTAAGAGGAAATATACCCGCTTTGAGAAGATCGGACAGGGGTGAGTTCATCTATAGGATAACGCTAACAGTTGTCCAAACAGTTAGTACCCATCATGCACTTCATGCAGCTGTGATGTCATGCTAATGAGCATGTAGGGTCGTGAGAGGTTAAAGGTCATGCTTCTCTGCAGTGTGTTTTCATTTGGAGCCATAGCTGCAGAATAATTTCATAATAAGTCATTCGAATTTTGGAAGATTTTGGTGGAAATCCTGAAAATCCCTTGAAGATGTTTCTAGTTTTAGTAAAGTATTAGTAAAGTATTAGTAAAGTATTAGTAAAGTTTTAGTAAAGTATTAGTAAAGTATTAGTAAAGTTTTAGTAAAGTATTAGTAAAGTATTAGTAAAGTTTTAGTAAAGTATTAGTAAAGTATTAGTAAAGTATTAGTAAAGTATTAGTAAAGTTTTAGTAAAGTATTAGTAAAGTATTAGTAAAGTATTAGTAAAGTATTAGTAAAGTTTTAGTAAAGTATTAGTAAAGTATTAGTAAAGTATTAGTAAAGTATTAGTAAAGTTTTAGTAAAGTATTAGTAAAGTTTTAGTAAAGTTTTAGTAAAGTATTAGTAAAGTATTAGTAAAGTTTTAGTAAAGTATTAGTAAAGTTTTAGTAAAGTTTTAGTAAAGTTTTAGTAAAGTATTAGTAAAGTTTTAGTAAAGTATTAGTAAAGTTTTAGTAAAGTTTTAGTAAAGTATTAGTAAAGTTTTAGTAAAGTAATCAAATAAGCAGAAGCAGCTGCATGTGCTGCTCACACAAGCTAAGAGTACATTTATTTGATTGGTTACTGCGATGAGTTGAAACTATTTACAGAAGTGATGTGTTTTCAGAGCTTCTGGTACCGTCTACACCGCCGTCGACATCGCTACAGGACAGGAGGTTGGTGTCCATCCATCACTCTCTTCCACTTGTCTGGGTCGGGTCACGGGGGCAGCAGCCTGAGCAGGAAAGCCCAGACTTCCCTCTCCGCAGCCACCTGGGCCAGCTCCTCCGGGGGAATCCCGAGGCGTTCCCGGGTAGGATGGTGTCGGTCCGGCTCCTGCCCTGGTGGGCTTTGTTCACACACTTCTCAGGAATGTGAAAATCTGCTAGCACGTGGGCGGGCCTGTGACACGCGGAGAAGACCCGCTGGCTCATTCTACCCACCGATCGACCTCGTGAACGAGACCCTGAGATACTTAAACTCCTCCACGTGGGGCAGGACCTCCTCCCTGACCCGGAGAAGGCCTTCTACCCTTTCCCGTGTCTCGGATTTAGAGGAGCTGCTTCTCATAACAACAATAAAATGTTGTATAACACGGAGCTCTGTCCTCTCTCAGGTTGCCATTAAGCAGATGAACTTGCAGCAGCAGCCTAAGAAAGAGCTGATCATCAATGAGATCCTGGTGATGAGGGAAAACAAGAACCCGAACATCGTCAACTACCTGGACAGGTGAGTGAAGACCACTGCTTCAGTCCTCACCACTCTGGTGTCTCGTTCGTCTGGAGTCAGAACCGTAAACCGCTGGTCCAGTTCAGTGTGTGTGACTGGTTACCAAGGTTACCAGTCTGTCCTGGAGACATCGTTTAGCAGATGCAAGTCTGGTACTGAAGCTGTCATCTCCATGGAAACGACATGCCAATGGCCCTGATGAATGGTGTGTGTGTGTGTGTGTGTGTGTGTGTGTGTGTGTGTGTGTGTGTGGCTGCAGCTACCTGGTGGCTGATGAGCTGTGGGTGGTGATGGAGTACCTGGCTGGAGGCTCTCTGACCGATGTGGTGACAGAAACCTGCATGGATGAAGCTCAGATCGCTGCGGTCTGCAGAGAGGTGAGGACCGTCCGACTGCAGGTGTGCGTCACAAATGGATTCTTGAAGGTCTTCTTCCTGTGCAGTGTCTGCAGGCATTAGAGTTCCTGCATTCAAACCAGGTGATCCATCGAGACATCAAGAGTGACAACATCCTGCTGGGCATGGACGGTTCAGTCAAGCTTAGTCAGTTCTCCACAGCAAACATCTCCACCACCTCCATGCTAGCTGCTGGAGCACTGACCATGTCCCGTTTCTTCTGCAGCTGACTTTGGCTTCTGCGCTCAGATCACTCCAGAGCAGAGTAAACGCAGCACCATGGTCGGGACCCCCTACTGGATGGCTCCAGAGGTTGTGACCCGCAAAGCTTATGGGCCCAAAGTGGACATCTGGTCCCTGGGCATCATGGCCATCGAGATGGTAGAAGGAGAACCACCCTATCTGAACGAGAACCCGCTCAGGGTGTGTGTGTGTGTGTGTGTGTGTGTTGGGAGGGGCTTGTTCCTAAAGCCACCACTAGATGGCAGCAAAGTGAAGGGCCAGTGGCTCCAATCTTGATTTTTCTTTTGCTGTTTTGGGATGAAGGCGCTGTATCTGATTGCTACCAATGGAACACCAGAACTGCAGAACCCGGAGAAACTTTCATCGTTATTCCGAGATTTCCTGAACCGATGTCTGGAGATGGACGTGGAGAAGAGAGGATCAGCTAAGGAGCTGCTGCAGGTACGGCTAGAACCAGTCTAGATAAGGTGCTAACATCTTATCATGCTTTTTACATAGAACCAAGCCCACTGGTGTATTTGTAGTCCGAGTTACTCGTTCAGATATTGGCTGTGAGGTGGAGCTGTAAGGACAAACGTTTGCTGTGAAGGATCCAGGCGTTGGACCGTGTTTAAAACCTGCTGTTGCAGCAGGAAGCCATGCTGGTTAAGGACACCCGGGCCCGGTTTAGCTGTCACCCTCTGCAGGTATAAGAACAGACTCATGGAAACTGATGACCTAAAACAATCCCGTTCTTCTACGCCAGCTGCTTGCTTTCGTTTCTGTACCACATGACGTCAGCTCGCGCTGCTGCGGCCTGCTGTCCGGGTGAGACGCTTCTGCCAGTGATGAAGTGGAAAATTAGATCAGACACCTTTGCCACTGTATACCAGACACCATGGAAGTACAGATGCCCGTCCAGTGGAAAGCGCCGTTCATCATCATCAGTATAAAAAATTCTATCCATAAAAATGTTGCATCATAAAAGACGAGAGCGACTCCAGAAAACTGGACCAAGTGCAGTGAGTGCACCTGTAACCCTACCCCTGTTAAAGGGTCGGGGTAGGGTTACATGAACAAACACTAACGTAGTAAGGACCCTTCTGGGTTCCTCGTCTCCAGGTAGACCGTGAAAACCGTCCCGACGTGTTCTCTTGCCCCCCCCCCACCACGCAGCATCTTCCTGAGCCATGCAGAACATTTTTCAGGTTAAATATTTTTGAATCCTCTTCAAATGTTCATATAAACTGCTACTAGCAACGAAACCTGGCCATGCACACCAGTGGGTATGCACTACCCACCAGATGGTCTCTCCATGAGCCCACCCAGGGATCAGGTGGATAGCTGATGAGTCATGAAAAGGTGTTAAATGTCATTTTGAGATCCCTGCAGGAACCCTTTATTATTTAGTTATTTAGATGTTAGGCGAACCAAACGCTGTTTAGTCATCGGTGTTACAAAGAAAAGGTTTTTGTAGCCAGTTTGCTAAAATCTTTCCCTTTTTGACGCTCTTCCTTGTTCTCTCACCCTTCCGTTACCCGCTGCAGCATCAGTTCCTGAAGATGGCGAAGCCGCTCTCCAGCCTCACTCCTCTCATCCTGGCAGCCAAAGAAGCTGCTAAGAGCAACCGTTAGCTTAGTTTAGCTAGCTCTGACTCATGTGGAGGTGATGTCAGCTGCCCCCACCTTACCTTTGACCTCGAGCTCTAGAGCCACATTCATCTGCCTCACAGATTCAAAAAAGGGGGCGGGGTTTCTTTCCAAGTCTTTGACACGCCGCCAGACTGGGACTGGAAGGACCGCTGATGAGGGCCAACAGCACCGTCCGTACAGTGAAAACACACGAGTCACTTGTTTGTTTTTATTTGGACCAGAGGAGCTCCGCCTCCAGCTGCAGGTGTTCAATCACCTTTTTTGTGTTTCTCAGCAAAATGTTGATTGTAGTTTTTTTCTGTCAGCGGGAAAGGTGTGGTTGTCCAAGCCCAGAGCCACAGACTCGCCGGCTTGTCGAGCATCTCGTTCGTTTTCCGTGTGGATTATCCGTTTGTAGCGCCGCTTCTACAGTCTTCTTCTTGTAGGCTCACTCTGACCTTAAATAAGCCAGATTACAGCAGGGATTACGCACCATTTAGCGTTCAACTCTTACAGGTGTGGGACCCTGAAAAACCTGTTTTAATGATTATGTCTGATGCTAATGGGTCACTCTGAGTGTTTCATGCAGGCTGAACATGAGAATAGTCTCCTACACCTATCTCCTGCATTAGCTTCTGATAGAAAACAGACAGCGAAAGTCTAGGATAGAAAATCCTGACAGATCTACGTCACCCTGTCACCAACATTCATGCACTCACCCGTCTGGGCTCATGACGGGGAAGGCTGTTGGTTTAGCGTCCAGGAAACATCAGAGAATGTCCCAGCTAGCAGAAGCTAACTGTTAGCGTTAGCAACTCCACCACACAGCAGAACTCCTCCAGGCTCGTGTTATTGGTGGAGGTAAAGCAAAGTCAGTTACCACGGTTACATGCGGACTGTCTTATTGTAATAATTCTCTATGCTAGTTCACGAGTGCATTAGAAAGCCCGCTTCTCAAGTAAAGTTCATGCCACTCTGGTACACTAGGTGGCGACACGCCCCTTTTCATGTCTACATTCTCCCGGTTAGCTTATAGCAACAGTCCCGGTTAGCTTATAGCAACAGTCCCGGTTAGCTTATAGCAACACTCCCGGTTAGCTTATAGCAACACTCCCGGTTAGCTTATAGCAACACTCCCGGTTAGCTTATAGCAACACTCCCGGTTAGCTTATAGCAACACTCCCGGTTAGCTTATAGCAACACTCCCGGTTAGCTTATAGCAACACAAGCAGTAAGCCTAGGCTGGCGGGAGCGAAGCAGACGGAGCTGGAACAGGAAATGCTGAATGGCTGAAGGACAACAGCGTCAATGCTGCAGCAGACGTGCTGTGCTGTTCTAGGTGTCTGACGGCGGTCTCGTCTCTTCCAACGCGAGTCTTTTTAGGTTAACATTCGGGTTTTCTGATGTGTGTGATAGTCGTGTTGCTGTTCGCCAATCAGAGGAGAGATGCCCAACTACCAGGATCCTATTGTGTTCAGCTCAGCTCTGATCTGATCTGGCAACCATCTAGATCCTGAAATAAGAGCACCCTCGAGTACGACTTGCAAGGCACGTATTCTAACCAGAGACCTCTGCAGACGTACTGTTTAGACAAGGAGCCACGACAAACATGGTTTACACGAAATAAGCAGGAAAATGGAAACCGGCTCATGTTGGGCTTGATGCTTCAGCTGTTAGAAAGACGAACACAGAAGATAAGTTCACTGTTGGTTTTACTAACAGACACTAGGGGGAGTTAAGAGCACAGCAAACTGCAAAGTATCCCTTTAAATGATTGAGTTGAACCAAACCGGCTCCATCTGTGGTTCTGGGTTGTGAGGGAGGGACATGCATGAGAACCGCTAAAAGAAAGTGGTGATAAAAGTGTAGATGCGGTGCATGAAAGAGATAACAGGTACGCTGAACCATCGTCTGTCTCCGCTTTAGTTTACAGCCGGAGTTTGATGAGAACACACAACGCTCGCTCATAAAGCCAGAAGGCCATTTTTGTTTTTAGTTATTTGAATGTTTTTGTTTTTAAGAACAGTTTGTCATTGCACAGCGACCCTGACTTTGTGCTCCTGAAAGACTGCTCTCGTAAGAAGTTACCCAGATGTGACCTCCTCATGCCGCACCTGGGTTGTGTTGAGCCGGCCCTGATAAAGCAGCTTTGGTACGTCTGGCCTTAAACGGCTTTAAAGGTGTAAAACTCTTGGCCGTAATAATGAGGCGCTCCAACAGTTCTGGGCTAACTAGATGGTATAAGCCTTTAGGAGCGAAGGCTGCTGCTGTTTGACTGGATCCTTAAAACTAATTTAAACAAACGGGAGATGGAACGGATTCATCCAGACGTTTTCATTATTGCTGCAGAACGTCTACGTTTGCCTGGGAAGGCTCCGGCGGCGTTTGGCTGGAGCGGTTTGAGCCTCCTGGGAGCTTTGCTGAATTTAAAGGGCTGTTCGACAGCTTTTATCGGTTTTCTGGAAACATTTCAGTGAAATAAGCGGCAGCTGTGAGTGGGTAAAATGCTGCTGCTCTGATACTAAAATGTTTTTGATACAGCAGACATTTTAAACACACATTAATGAAACCTAACTCGGATAACTTCCTAGAGTTGAATTTTTGTTTTAGTTTCTAAAATGGAAAGAGTTCCAGACGGCTGCTTCAACACTAAATATCTGTTTAGTTTCTTGTGATTTTTTGCTTCTCACTGTTAAAATCTGTCCAGATGAAGAAGTTTGGATCTAGCACAAACATCAGAACAGGTCCAGCTTTGGATGTTCTGTTAGGTTTTCTCTGGATGGTTGACTGAAGTCTCTTTAGTGCATTAGAGCCATCCTTCATTTGTTTTATGAATCACTTTGAACAAATAAATAAAATGGTAAAAAGAACAGAACTCTGGTCCTGTCTTGTGTTCGTTTCCTGAAGAACTCGGATAATTCGTGGAAACCCTAACCCACAGGTGTCCTCGAGGGCCGCTGTTCCACGTTTTAGTGTCTTCCCTGTTTCACCACACCAGCAGGGGTCTCATTTATAAAGCTTGCTTGGGCACAAAACGGGGTCGGAATACTGTAAGCAACTTTCCACGCGAACTTTGGGATTTAAAAGAAGTTGACTGAAGACCTGGCTTACGCACATTATGGACATGGAGAGCACTTGCAGTGCTGCTGCTGATACGGGGGGGGGGGGGGGGGGGGGGGGGTGCCAAGTCACAACATTAGGAAATTGCTGCAGTATTTTGGTGCAGAAGGTAAGATAGAAAAAAATTAAGAGATAAGCAAATGTAAGAACTAATAAAACACTCATGATAAAATTATTAATGTAAAAAGTGGCAGGAATTAGAGAAGCAGCTATCTACTCCGTGTAGGTACTAATCTGAGTGTTTGTTGAATGGTTCAAGCACAGCATCGGGTCACGTGACTGGGACCAATCAACTTGAGTGGGCTGCCCTAGGATGTTCATTCAAAAGTCCAACTGCAGAGGAGAAGAAACTGTTTTTGTGACGAGAGGTTCTGGTCCGAATGGATCTGAGCCTTCTGCCAGATGGGAGCGAGTCGAAGAGACCGTGTCCAGGGTGAGACGAGTCAGCTATTATCCGACCTGCACGCCTCAATGTCCTAGAGGTGTACAGATCTTGAATGGAGGGGAGTTTGCAGCCAATGACCTTCTCTGCAGAGCGCACGACACGCTGCAGCCTCTTCTTGTCCCTGGTGGTAGCTCCAGCGTACCACACGGTGATGGAGGAGGTGAGGATGGACTCGATGATAGCGGTGTAGAAACGCCTCATCGACTGTGGTGATAGGTTGAATTTCTTCAACTGCCTCAGGAAGTACATCCTCTGCTGGGCCTTTTTTCTGATGGTGGTGATGGTGGGCTCCCATTTGAGGTCCTGGGTGATGGTGGTGCCCAGGAAGCGACATGAGCACCATCGTGATGGGAGTGTCAGACAGGTTTAAGGGGGCGATGGGGTGTGTGTGTTTCCTAAAGTCCACAACATCCTCCGCTGTCTTCTGGGTGTTTAGCACCAGGTTGTTGTGGCTGCACCAGGACACCAGCCGCTCAGCCTCCATTCTGTAAGCGTTCCATTCCATTTATATTTTAATGACGGACACATTTGATCTGCATTCATAAAAGGCTTAAACGTTACCAGTCTCCTCTGCATGGCCCCCTTCTCCGGCACGATGCCACGCACACTTGCCGGTCCAAGTACTGCTTAGATCCTAACGGTGAGCGGTGGGGGATCAGTGGTGCCAGGGCCTCGCCAGTGGCATAAACAGTCTGGCGTTGGCAAAACATCTTGTTTTTTTTTTTGCCTCCACCTTCGGATCGGCCCATTTTTTTTATACCCGTCACAGATCTCTCTGAAGAAGTCAGCATTGACGGCTTCAGCAACGCTGAGCCACTCCGTGGATTTTCTCTTATTTGTTTTGCAAAAGCACTTCCTTTCATTTCTCCACCTCACCCACAGGTACCTCAACTTCTGCTTTGATGAAACAGCGCTTCCTTGATCTGTGGTCGCCATCGTTAATGGAGCGCTGCAACGAGCCGGCATGAGATCCACAAGGCACTTTGCATTGACCATTTATGGCAGTAAGTGGGCGTGTTGAGGGTGGGATGTGATCAAAAACACCTGAGTACCTTTCTAGGTAGAGTGTGATTTATGAAGCGGAGATTGCGTGCAGCTGTGTGTACTCCATGTTTGATAGATCACACACCTGCTTGGCGTAAATACTTTTGTTTTGCTGAGCTTAAGTACGTTTTTCGGAAGGATTCTACGCCATGTTAGATAAAAGAGACCCCTGGGGACCCTAACCCATCCTTCTCAGCAGCAGCTCTGCAGGTGCTCTCCATGTCCAGCATGTGTGTAAGTCAAGCCCCCACAATGCGGCTCTAAAAATGGTCCCAACCCGGAAGTAAGAAAAATTGCAGTTCCACCCTCATCCACTAGGGGCTGGTGCCAGAAGCGAGCAAATCCTCCTTGACTCCCATGTTAAAAATACCAATTTCACAGCAGAAATAAACATGTTTACAGCCTGGTACCAGAACATATTTTTTGTCTAAATTATCTAGTTTATACTCATGACAACTCTGAGGGGGGTGAATTTTTTTCTCACTCTTCTGTTTAAGTGTATTAAAAGCCTAAAATTATGTATAATTAATGAGCATCAGACCCACGTGACCACAGAGCTAGCTCCGGGGAAAGGCCTCAGTAGAGCCTCGGTCTCTCCTGGAAACTGTGTCGGGATTTTGAGTCTCTGTGCTTGTGAATTCTGTTTTGGATATTATTGGTGCAATTGTTGGACAAAATGACTTGCTGTGGTATTAATTGCACTAATAGAGCGTCCAAGGAGTCTCCACCTCATTTTTTTCGGTAAGTTAAAATCTATATTCGTATTTTATGTCACTGCCGCCTTTAAACTAGCTGAGTTTACCGAAGTAGCTAGCTAACTATCAGTTTAACATGTAGCATGTACTGTTTAACCATGAAATTTAGATGTAAAATACGGTAAAATAATTAATAGGGCATATTTAGATGGGTAATATGGTAAAAGATCAAAATGGGTTGAAATATGACGGAGCGCTAAGAGGGAGACTTCTGTGTCCATTCTTCCACCCGGTAATCCCCAGCGGTCAGGCCGGGCAGCCTGACCGATCCGGCGCCTACTTGCTGCGCCTAGCTGCTGTGCGGTCTGACCGCTCGTGGAGTTTTTCATGTCTGACTTTAACCGCATCTAATACTGTATTAGGGCGTGAGCGCAACAGCGACAACTTAATATCGATGTGTAAGCAGCCTGAGTGGTAGGGTGTTTTCATCTGAACCCTTAAAATCTCCAGCAGGCTTGGAGTGACACCTGTGTCCATTCTTCCATCCGGTAATCCCCAGCGGTCAGGCCAGGCAGCCTGACCGGTGCGGCGGCTAGTTTCTGCGCGGGCTGACCGCTCGTGGAGCTCTCAGAGACAGATCTGACCGGAGAAATACTGCAGCTCGGTGAGAAGTCTATAGGGCATACAGCGTTTCCCTTAAATCCCACCGCCACGCCGACAAGATCCCAAGTTTATTTGTTTTTGTTGGCGCTTTTTACCGAAGAAGCAGCGGGAACTAATATGTTGTCGCTTGTGATCACAGCCGGCGGGTAGCAAGTATGTACAGTCTATGATTTTACCGCTCCCTCCTGCAGTCTTCCCCTATTAAAATTTAAAATGTGTAACTTTATATATTGGGATGAATGACTAATCTTCATGTTAAACTCAAACGTTAGGCATTTAGGGGGAAAAACAAAATAATAAACATTATACAGATGTCAAATAAATCAAACTGTAATTAAACTATATATTTTCAAAGTCTCGATTCTGGATAAAATCCAACAACATATGCTTTATAAATAAACACTACACATGGCTTTTACACACACACAGACACACACATGCATGCACGCAAGCACATTCACTCACACATACACACACACAGTGATCTGGTGTACCAGTGTGTTCATGAAACCAAAGAAGTCCAATTGCCTTCTTTAAAAATCCATTTGATGTCATACTGAACAACTGTTGTATTTGATTCTAATTTTAATGATTCTGTTTCAGGTGGAAATGCTGTGTGATTCCTGTGGCCCATGACCTGTGTCAGCCTTGCTGAGTTCTCTGTAGCAAGGTTTTCTGGCGCTTGTGGCCGTTCCAGAGTGCACCTGATCCGGTCTAACACTTCACATCCCAGCACACGCACGAACACATGCTAGTTGATGTTTGTTGTTCATAATGTTTGTTGTTCATGATGTTTGTGGTTCATGGTTTACATGTTTATAGTTGTTCATCCCACGTTTTCTTGATGACTCTTCGAAATGTTTCTTCACAGGTGCAGCTGCTGGTTGCTGTTTTTATGTTGGTTTGCTAGTTGTATTAATTTTTCTCTTATTTACTTGTTTATCCTCTATCAGCAGTCTTTATACCAGATTGGTTCAGCATCTACATTCAATATTACTCAAGGGGAACCTTGTACACATTAAGGCTCCTTGTCATGAGCCGGGGTGAGTACTCCTGTTCTCTTAACCATCTGTGAGTCTCTTGCCAGGAGAGGGAGTGGCCCAGCTGTTCCTGATCAGCAATCAGCGGGGTGCTTTCCTATTTAAGGTGGATGGAGGACACAATTCGACGCCGGAAGATTGCATCAGTTTTGGTAGTAACCAGCCACTCGTGTTACCTCTAGTGTTCCTAGGATTAATGTTATTTCGTAGTGTTTTTGCTCTTATATTGGATTTACCATTCTTCAGGATTCCTGTCGACCTCATTGGATACTGACCTCTACTCCAGGATTCTGATATTCAGCACACGGACCTTATCACCACCCTCCATAACCTACCTCTCATCTCACCCAGTGCCCCATCCACCAGGACGCCCCGCTTCTCTCCACCTCTGCTCCCTCTCCTGCACTTCCCCGGCTCTCTACCTCTCCCTCCTCCAGCCAACACATACACCCACCACAGTAAGTTCTGCTGAACACCTCTGCCTGCCTACAATGGATTTTGAAACTAGAACCTAAGCTCACCTGTGTTCTCCCTCCTCCAGACGCTGAGCTGTTGTTGCAGTTCCAACCACAGACTTATCTGTGCACCTTAAGTTCCTCCTTATAAATAAATCGTGTTTTCCATCAGTTTTTGGTCAGTGTTGTATTCTGCATGTCTTGGGTTAAGTACCTTCAAACAGGATTTTTAAACCAAGTAAAGTTAGTAAAGAACACATTTCTATTGTCTAAGAAACTGTTGGGATTTAAAATGGGCCTGTTGTACAAATAACTTGTAAATGATTATTCCTCACTTTCTAGTCTTAACCAAAGAAATTCCAGTAATTGAGCAAAAACATTTATTTTTAACACTACGTTTTATAACACAGGGCACAAAGTGTCGGCACAATAAAAAACAAACAAACCTGGGCCCAGAGAGCTGCAGAGTGAGTGTAACGTTGTCGTTTGAAGGAAGAACAGTTCAACAGTGTTATGGCTACAGATAAATTACATCATCAACACATTAGCTATAGCAGTCAGGGATATGTTTATCCTGTTTGCCTGAAAATAAATCTGTCCTAAAGGCCAAATTCAAAAGCAGCGAGACTCCCACCTGGAAGTCTTTCACTGCTTTTGGAGCTGGCCTTTAAGACAATCGGCAATATTAGTTAAAAAATATCATTTCCCCTATTAGTGAAATGAACTCTGTCTGACAAATATCCCTGGACTGTCATGTCTGATGTGAGGATGCACAACAGCACCATTTAAACTAGAAATAAAAGTAGCCATTACACTGCTGACGAACCTCCGGGCCTTCTCAATTTTGGCAGGTTTTACACCTGCCCTCCATCTACGCCTTTGGGTGATGGACGACATGATGATGGTCATATGAGGGTGGAGAAGGTGAAGCCGGTGCAGGTCCTCCTTCATGTTGACCAGCTTCACACTGCTGACCACCCCCATGTCATTGCCGCCGCAGTGAATGATGACATCCGGAGCTGCTCTTCCATGCCGGGAGTGAAAAAAGGGGAGAAGGTCTTTCCACCTCAGACCGCCCCAACCGAACCAGGAGACACAGACGTCAGGGAGGCAGAGGGTCTCTGCAGCTCTCTGGGCACCCCGCCTCACGTAGCTGTCTCCAATAATCCAAATGGCTATGGAGAAAAAATAACAGGTTTGTCATAATTGTTTAAAGTACAAAACCATACATGAAGTGGTCAAGACGGGTATATGGAACTTACACTTGCTGCGTTGTGTAGCTGATGTTGGAGACACACAGGTTGCCATGGTGACCTTTTAACAGATCTAAGAAAAAAATGTAATAAAAGAATGAAACTTAAAAACTCCCAGACCTCATTTCAATCAGCTATGGCAGATTTATTGTTTGGATCACAGTGAGTTACACTAATTCTAATATATTTTTATTTCTATTACACATACATACTTTTTAACTGTTATTTTCACATGACTGTTATCAGGCTGTTCTGGTTCTCATGATAATTCCGTTACTTCCAGTAAGTTATCTGGTGCTTACTTCATCTGTATAATGTCTCTTTACTTTTGGTGAATTGTACTGAGTCCAGAATAAAGACTAGTTGGCTGTACAAGATACAAACAAGTATTACGTTTTGGAAATATATGAAACACCGCCAGCATCTGTTAGAGCCTGTGGCGGGGTGCTGAGGGCCGGCTCCAGCCCAGGAATGAGCTCTCCTCGCCGGCCGGGAGGGTTGGAAACACCGCCATCCTCTCCTCTGCTGGCTGTTGTTCATTCTGTTATGGTTACCGGTGCTTAATTGTGTTGCAATGTGAAACGCTTGGTCTCAGATTTTGAAAGAAAGATAATAAAATGTCCCCCCAAAATACGACTTAAATATATTTTCTCTTCTTCATTATACATTTAATGGCTGGTGCGAATCAGGAGCGATAGCCCGGAAGATATGGTACTGAAAACTTGCTCAAAGCAAAATGTTTTCATTACGGAAATAAATTATAAACTTACCGATTCAATACTTTTTTAATCCAGGTACTTTTCACGAACAGGCGCCGAAAACCTCCACCTAAACTTCGTGTGAGGTTCAGGTCGATGGGTGTTCCACAGTTAGCTCCGGTAGGGTTGAAGCTAGGTGGCTACATCCATTAGCTCGGCTCCCACCTCCGAGTTAGCTTTGGGTTAGCCAGGGTTAGCTTCAGGTTAGCTCGTAGCTAGTTCGCCTGGGTGTCACTCGATCCCAGCCTTACAGCCCCACGCTCAGCTCCTCCTCTCTTCCCTTTTATGGAATTGTCTGGGCTGGACGGAACCTGTGACACGGTCAAAATGGCGGTGGTGGCCACCTCCCATTATAGACAACAAACGTGTTATCGGAGCCTATGGAATCGAATTGTCCAGTATTTACAGTCTATGGTGTAAGTCAGGTCCTTAGTCAACTTAAAGTTGCGCACATTTTTCCGCTAAGTTTTCTTTCATAAATCCCAAAGTTTGTGTGGAAAGTTGCTCACGCAGTTTTCCGACCCTGTTTTGTGCGTAAGCAAGCTTGATGAATGAGGCCCCTGGAGATTAACAGGCTGCTGCTCAGGTGAGTCAACTGTGTTAGAATGGGGAAACAAAAATATGCAGGACACCGGCCCTCGAGGACTGGACTGTTGGATGTAATTCTGGGTGTTCAGTAATGAGATTTTACTTTTTAAATGAGCTTATTTCCTAACGTCCTGTCTCTCCTCTGCTTTCTGAATCATTCTTTAAACTGACTCTGTTCTGGCTCTGCCACAACTTTCGTTTATGTGTGTGTTGTCTCTTTAAGAGAACCAGGAAGTCAGTGTTCAGACCATGTGGTGCAGACAGAACAGCAGGCGTAGCATGTGGGTTTTTAGTTGGGATGAGGGCGTTCCCTGTTAGTATTCCAACAAAACAATGTTTAGATAGACACTGGAGTCTGAGTAGTTCATCCAGGGTTTTAGAAGCTATGAGTATTATTTACAATGGATGTGTTGAGGCATGGTTATGATTTGTATCACACTTTATTTCCTGACGTGTGTTTATTTTACATGTGGATGTAAAAATTCTATTTGTTGGGTTTGGGTCGTTTCAAACAGTAAGCAAGTACTTAATTCGCTGCCGGAAGAAGAATGTGCAGATACAGTGAGAAAAGACTTGTCATACGTTCATGGGTAAAATCACAAGTGATTGGTGGGAGTAGCTGCCGTCAAAGGCAACTCTCGCATTTAAGTTCATTTTATTGGATTTAATGTTGAAACAATTAGTAGTTGAAAGATTGAGAAATAATATTTCAATAGTAATTCATGTTCTGTTCATCAGATTTATATGTTTAAATGTGTATTTGTGTTAACTGTGCAATTAGATGGGAACCTTTTCTATAGTTCCGTCCGTTGTTGCTAAGGGGGCATTTTTCTTGGCACACTCAGCAAGCAATTAAGAGACGAGCCACGAGGTTGCACGTCTGTCTGATGTCTAATAACCTCAGACCCGCTGATCAGAGCGTCACTCATCAGAGAAAGAGAATAAACTTCCAACCTTATTTAATATTGACAACCAAAATACATCATTTTACTTTTAGCTATCCTCACTGAAGCAACACTTAACTTCTATGTTAAAATGAAAAACATGAAAAGTGATTAAATGGTTCAGAAAAGTAGGAAGAAATATTATTTCTGTTTTTACAATTTTCATTTCAGCTTAAACAATTTATTATTTTGTGCTTTAATCACATTTAGCTTGTATTTTATGAAGATGTTTGTGTTGCATTGTTTGGAGAATGAATCAGAAAACAACATGAAAACTACTTGAAAGGTTTTGTGTTTTTGGATCATTAAATGATCTTTAAATGGCCTTCTACACCTTTTACAAGTGTTTGTTCTGCTGCAAGTCACACTGTGATAGGATTTTAAGCCATACCCAGATAGCAGGCTTATATTGAAACAATATTGATTTTCCATCTGAATCATCAGAATGGTTGACATTGAAATTTTGATGCAAACTAGATGTTGAATGTTTCAAAACCGATGAATCCTGTCAGAAACAACATTATATTGTAATAATTTCTCTTAACTGAAATATAAGTGAAAATGCATTGATCTGTAGTTGTGTTGACATTTTGATATTTTAATATTTATGTTAATTGAAATATAATTGTAAAGGCATTGGTCTATAGTTAATAAACCAATATAGGTTCTATATTAAATTTAGGTGCAAAATTATGTTGATTCAATGGTTTAATTCTCATTTATGAACTTTAAAACAAAACTCTAGAAAATTGGAGAGAACATGGCGCTCTACGCACCATGAGGAGGCCTACCTATCCTGGAAAAATAGTCTTGTGCTTTATAAAAATAAGCTTCCACAAGCCAGAACTGCTTATTTTTCATCGCTAATTGAGGAGAATAAGCATAATCCTAAATTTCTTTTCAGTACAGTTGCTAAACTTACACAGAATCATAGCTCTGAGCCATCTATTCCCTTAGCCCTCAGCAGCAATGACTTCATGGGATTTTTTACAAGTAAAATTAATTCTATTAGAAACAAAATCTTTAGCATCCTCCCTAATGCGATTTCTTCTTCCTCAGTAAGTGAGGCAGCATCAGAGGTGACTGTAGAACCTCATCTGTGCTTGAACCGTTTTGATCCAGTTGAGCTTTCAGAGTTATCAAAAATATTAGTTTCATCTAAACCTTCAACTTGCATTTTGGATCCAATCCCAACCAAATTATTTAAAGAAGCATTTCCTTTGGTTACTGCCCCCATTCTAGATATAACCAATCTATCCTTAGTAAATGGGTATGTACCACAGGATTTTAAGGTTGTTGTAATTAAACCTTCACTTAAGAAGCCTTCTCTGGATCCAGATGACCCAATGAATTATAGACCAATATCTAACCTTCCATTTTTATCCAAAGTCCTGGAGAAAATAGTGGCCATCCAAGTATGTCAGCATTTAAACACTAATGCTCTGTTTGAGGAATTTCAGTCTGGTTTTAGAGAGTATCACAGCACTGAAACTCTATCTATCTATCTATCTATCTATCTATCTATCTATCTATCTATCTATCTATCTGTCTATCTGTCTATCTGTCTATCTGTCTGTCTGTCTGTCTGTCTGTCTGTCTGTCTGTCTGTCTGTCTGTCTGAGCGACGTGTGGTCCATATCCAGCATCAACGTTCGGTTCGACCAACACAGCTCTCCCAGTTCACCCTTAGCCCCTTACCTGCCCACTATCACAGAGGAGTGATGGGAACGTAGCCTCCAGATAGAAAGTATGTTCAGTATTCAGTGTTAGATCATCATCAGCTGATACAGGTACAGAAAACTAGATAAAAGAAATGTGGTTTGAATGAATGTAAACATTCAAAGGAACAGGGAGATTTGAAGGGTTTTTCTTGTTCTCTTGTTTTGTGGGTTAGCAGCCTGCATGACTGAGCTCTTCAGAAACACCTAGCAGGTACTCTCCAGCTCAGCTTACACTGGGATCATTCAAAAGGAAAAATCAGACTGATTTAGCTGCACTTGTGCCACACAGCAGCTGACAGAAGAACAAAGACACAAGCAGCAGTCCATCTCCCCTTATTCCCTCTGCCCCGCCCCTCAGTCGGTACCCAACGTGCAGCGCCAGTGTGGAGAGGGTGAAACATCTCACCACGCCTACAAAGATGAAATTGTTTTGTTGCTTTCCTTCTATGTTGGGGTTTTTTTTGGAAGAAAAAAGAAGGAAAACCTCCAGATTTAATCTGCTGGTAGGAACAAAAAGTTATGTGGGCACCTGCAGCTCCTCACACGAACAAGGATGAGTTAGGAAACACGTAGGTGATGCAGGTTCAGGTACTGGTGAATCTCCAGAGAACAGGAAGTGATGATACTTATTAGATCTGTTTGTACTGTAGAGATTATTTAGAGTTTTAGCAATTAGCTGTTTGTTTTTGCTAAACAAACACAAATCAGCTTTTTAAGAAACAGGAAATTCAGGAAAACTGTAACTTTGGGGAAGGCAGCTTTATTGATACAGCACATGTTCGACACAGAGACAACGTGCTTCCCAACTAGCAAGAACATTCATTGTACTTTACATCTAAAACCCAAAGTGTTGCTGGATGTGGGGAATGTTCGTGGAGGTTTCTGTCCTCACATGCTGAGCTAGTTAAAGAACGTTGTTAGCTAATGCAGACTAGCTAACATTGTGTAACATCATTAACGTTTGTGCTTAGCTCTGAGTCTGTGTTCCTGTTGAGAGTATGGTAGCAGATCTCATCCAGGCTACGCGTTACGACTGCCCCGCTTTATTTGTTCTGTTGAACGAGTCTGGTGTTGATGCAGTGCTGCGTCTTTTCCTGCGCATGTGTTTTACAGAAGCTGTTAAGGTTAGCGGGTGTTGACTCGTGTGGTCCACGTTTGTCTTGTCATTTCTCAAAAAAACAAACTGGAGATTTAAACAGTTTTAAATGACAATGATGAAACTTTTAACAAAGCAATAAAGTTTTCACATTTAAATAAAGACAGGCTTCACTAAAGGTCCAAGTGTGCAGACACCAGACTCCAGTGTTACATGCAGATGACCTTTATTAAAGGGTTAGAGGTCAACCCTAGTGGAAGACACGACACCAGATAGAGCACCAGTGTTTTAGTGACTTCTGGCCTACAGAGAGTCGAAGCTCCGCCCATCGTCTTCCAGACCACTGGCCATGGGGCTATAAAAGCTATTTTCTGATCCCATTTGTTAGGTGTACCATTTCACATACGATGTCTGAACCTTAAAGGCCCATTTCATTACTAAGAAAGTGCTTATTTCAGATGGCAGCTAAAGTTATTTGAGGGTTTTGTGTGGAAATGTATCCAGGATGCAAATGTTTCACCATACTGACCTCATCAAGCCAGACACGGAGAGGAGGAGATGAGTTTAGCGAGCTTCACATCCTTCTTCAGGGACAACAGGAGCTTTAAACGTGGACCACTATGAATCTGGTCACGTGGTAAGTAGCAGCTACGCTGGGGAGAGGAGATTCTGCTGTGACATCATATATGCCACGTCTGATTTGTAGTCATCCATCCATTTTCTTTCGCTTATCTGGAGTCGCGGGGGCAGCAGCCTAAGTCAAGAGGCCCAGACTTCCCTCTCCCCAGCCACTTGGGCCAGCTCCTCCGGGGGAATCCCAAGGTGTTCCCTGTCCAGGTGAGAGACATAGTCCCTCCACCGTGTCCTGGGTCTACCTTTAGGTCTCCTCCCGGTTGGACGTGCCCGGAAAACCTCACCAGGGAGGCGTCCAGGAGGCATCCTGACCAGATGCCCGAGCCACCTCAACTGGCTCCTCTCCATGTGGAGGAGCAGCAGGTCTACTCCGAGCCCCTCCCGGATGACCGAGCTTCTCACCCTATCTCTAAGGGAGAGCCCAGCCACCCTGCAGAGAAAACTCCTTACAGCTGCTTGTATCCGTGATCTCGTTCTTTCGGTCTCTACCCAAAGCTTGTGACCATAGGTGAGGGTAGGAACGTAGATCCACCGGTAAATCGAGAGCTTCACCTTCTGACTCAGCTCTCTCTTCACCACGACAGGCCGGTACAACGCCCGCATCACTGCAGATGCAGCAACCTGCCTATCGACCTCACGCTTGTAGTTGTAGTCATTTAATTTATAAATTTTTACAAGCTAACAAATCTCAAAGTATATAGATAGTCAAAACTCGGCATGTGTGATTGGAGGTGTAAGGCAGAGAGGATTAGAAAATAGTTTTATAGCCCCGTCCGTGAGACCCAGCCTTTCCTTGTGTCTGTGGGCTCTTCTCCCTGTAGTAGTTACTAAACAGTAGTGTTCCCCCATCGAGTACTACCTCACACATCCCTGCACAACCAAACTACGCCGACATCTAGTGTACATGAAACCTGGAGCTCATCTTAGCGCAACCAAACATGAAAAATAAAGAGCTGACAAACAATCGACTCCGTTAACCGGACATTCAGACACAAGAGCATTGATCACTTCCGTTCCTGCGTATGATCCCGTTTAAATCCCAACCTCTGTAACAGCAGCTGTCGCTGATGCAGCAGGAGAGAGTTCTTCTTTCTGTGTGTGTGTGTGTGTGTGTGTGTGTGTGTGTGTGTGTGTGTGTGTGTGTGTTATATCTCACTTTATATTGATGCCAGTGTTTTATGGAATGTCTTCAAATGAACCAATAACCGCAGTGATGAGCTTCCTACAGCTGATTGGTTGAACCATGGTTAGCATTTCAAAGGTAGTCATCCTCACTGGAGAGCTCATCTTCATCTTCATCATATTTTTGGTGGGTGGGGTTACTGGGGCCTTCTCCGGGGTCGCTGCTCTCTGTGACATCTGACTCCAATGAACTAGCAGAAGGACTGCGACTCATCCACCACAGCTGGTGGGCGAAAGTCCGCCCCCAACTGCAATACTGACCAATAGGACGCAGCAGGCGGATGAGCTCAAAGGCCTCCTGCCAATAAGAATTTCACTTGCCCTGACCCCGCCCAGACCGCTGCTTGTTCATGTTGGTCAGCATCTGACTGATGTAGGAGGTCAAAAGGTCGTCCATCTTGTAGCCCTGTACACACACACACACACACACACACACATCAGGTGTGTGTAGTTGTATCACCTGATTTATCAGCTCTTCAGCACCCACCAGCGACGTCTCACACAGCAGTTTGCTTCCTCTGACCAGGTTTCCGATGGTGACGTGGAAGTAGGTGTTCCCGCTGCTCCAGTTGGAGATCTTGGTGAAGGGGTGGGTGGTCAAGATGTCCTGCATGAAGAAGAAGACCGTTGAGTTTCAAAAACACGCAGGCCCGCTCAGACCCCCCCGTCCCTGCACAACAACCAACCTTGGTCTTTGGGTCGATGAGGCTGACGCCATGTTTGTTGATGGCGATCAGCAGGATCTCGGGGTAGTTTGGGTCTGTGGTTTGCTAAATAATGAAACGGTTACTGCACATCTACAGGTGTACGAAACCGCCGCAGACATGAAACGATCCGTACGGACCAGCCTGGAATATTTATACCGCAAAAGATAAAAGTCTCCTAAGCAGCTCGGCTGTTTTCAACGGTTTCGATTTAAAGTCAAAAACAATAAAACCTTCAGTTCAGATCACGCTCCTCAGGTGCGCTTACCTTAACCTCAAAGAAGGCGGAGCCAAAGGTGGGCCATTTGTAGATGATCTTCAGGAACAGAAGCTTGGCCTCTTCTCTGGATTTCCCCGCCTGCTTGTTGAAGTAGGCGACTACAGACTGAGCAGACACATCAGGCTTCTTACTCAGCATCACGAGGAGCCACCTGATTGGCTCGTGGAATATTTACCCTCTTCCATTCGTCTGATGACATCTGGCGGATGAGGTCCTGGGGAATCAGCTCTCGCAGCATCTTGGGAATGGTAGGAAAGTGAGACTTGTCGTCTTCAAACTTGACACGATAGATGAGAGCTGCAAGCTGAAACACTTCTTCTCGTGAACATTTGTGGTAGCCGCGCAAATATTTGGGTAGTTCCTGACAGAAATGAACCACGACCAAGAGTTTTTACAGCCATTACGAAAGAACTGATCAAGTTTAGGGGTGAAAATTCCCAAC